ACTCTGCAAGAGTAAGTCCTGCACTCTTCTCTTTGTTATCTTGTGCTTACTCTATCTTCCCTACTACACCCACCTCCCACCAAGGTTCATGCTTTGCCACTCTCGCTATTGTATTCAATATCGTCCCACATCTGTTGTCATGCATTTGCCCATCTCTTGCCCTCCCAATGTTCCCATACCACTAATCCTGCATGGCCTCAGCATAGCCTATTTAGTCACTCAGGACACCTCACCACCTTTCCACCACCTGTGCCTACCAGCTGTGCAACCCACTTTCATCTCACTTAGTTCCTCCCTTTCTCTCATTATAGGAAATAACAGCCCATAACAGAGTCGAAAAAGCCTGGACAGTAGACGGGTGACTGACATTAGGATCCTCACCCCATACGAGAAGAGAATCCTAGCCTTTGCAGGAGCAGACTGGAACCGCTCCTGTCGGGAAGCCGAAACATACATGTCTTGCCAACTGAGTTAAGTACCATTGTTTATTCCACTGGAAATGGCACAGCAACCCTGCTGTCAGTGTCATTCATTGCACACCATTGGCCGGAACACCCTCTCTTTTGTCTTGCAGGTATAGCCAGCATATCCACCACCTCCAGCCAGCTATAGAAGTTACCTCCTTCATCTTTGACAACGAGAGTACCAAGGCCTCAGAAAAAGCATCTGCAAGGCTGCCTCCTGCACCCCACCAGCTCAGATACAGATTCCTTTGTAGGAATGTTTAGCTGGAATGGATAAGTGCACGGCTACAATCTAGTGAGCAAGTCTCTGCGACAGCTCCACAGCTGGCCAAGGAAGAAATGCTCCAGGCTGCTGGCACTCAGTGGACTGCCAGAGACCAGGCACCTGCTTACACCAAGGGTGGGAGGAGCACGTGATGTCAGCAATCAAGGACTTTGTGGCAGACAAAAATGTGGAATGCGTTGAGCCTTATTGAACAGAAGCTGCAGCAATGTGATGAGGCACACAAATATCTGGATACCTCCATAGACTGGCGGGCATCTGCCATGAACAGCCTCAAGGACTGCTGAAGAGGCATACATGCACCTGAACTCCATTGTCCCACTGTTTGTTCCTCAGGACAAAAGACATAGCAACGAAGGATGAGGAATCTAGTGAGCCCTCCAGGTGGCTCTTATTCACAAAGAGACGGGTCAGTGCCAGATTCCATCCGGCCAGAGAAGGAACCACACACACAATCTCCTCAGAAGTCTTCTCTCTGGACATTACAGAAGTTGCTGGCTCCTCCAGCTCCACCCTGCTTACCCTCCTCTGACCTTTGGAGGTTCAATTCGAAGAGAAACCATTTGTATCTGGAAAGAAGACCCTCAGCATGTCTAGCTCATTCAGGCACGAGTGCCCAGGGAGTTGCCGGAACAAAACTTTCAGTTCTAAGGGTCTCCACTGTCGACCAGGCTGTCTCCTCCCCAAACTGAACTAGGAAGTACACTAAGATGTAGTGGGAGGGGAAGGAAGAAGAAAACTTAATGAGAACACTGAGTTTTAATACACTGTACATTATTTGGCACTTCTTTGTAAATGGCACTGCTTTGACGTTTGTTTCTGCTTGGCCCCAAATGCTGTTGTTCCAGCACAAGACAGAACTTCATAGCCTCACAGGTAGGGCATGTCCCAGCTCCTTGAATTACTTAACAAAACAGCCTCAGCTGGGAAATGCCGAGATTTCTGACTGGTGGCTTGACATCTCACCAACTGCATTAGCCCTACTCCCCCAACTGGCTGCTGTGGAAGCACAGGACTGACTGTGATCCATTACCCCAGCTGCAAAGACATGGACCCTGACTGGATGCCTGACTGTGGCCAATCCATTCAAGGTGTTTCAGAGGCTGCCCTTGACTTATTGTGCTGGAGCCCCTGGCTATTGGGTATCTCTGTGGACCAGTGACAACCAATCTCTAAAGACTGAGATATGTTTGCTTGCTTGCTGCAGATGCAATGTGTTTACCTTGTAAGCTGCTGACACATTGTGCAGATGTGAGATTGACGTAACATACTGGTGTACAGCAAGATGAATGCCACCTTGACTGAAGACTGCTGACTAGCAAAGCAAGCTGCCCAGTTGTTTGACTGCATTATTTAGCATGGCAAGGCAAAGATGGTGTGAACATCCATGTAGGTATTAAGTGAGAGAGAGAAATAACAGCTCTGAGATGCAGCCTTGTCTAGCCTGTCACCTGGGTCCCTGCCTGTGCACACAATGTGTCTCTGGTGCAGTCTTCAGTGTTAGTTGCTGATGTGCCCTACAATGGAGGTCTATACTTCATGCAAGGAGCAGAGATGTGCCATGATAGTCATGAACGATTGGCAAATGCCCAGTGCCATTGTCTGTGGACAAAGAGTGTGTACAGTTGGTATAGGTGGATCATGCTCTGAGGTGCTGTTTGGTCCTACGCATCATGAGGTCCTTCAGAACAGGAAATGAGCTGAATTTGCCAGGTACCCAATCTGATTTCCATATTGAGTTTTCTTGACATTTAGCTTGTTTGGCATGTTTCTTAAGACATGAAGCTGAATATTAGTAAGACAAGTTGGGCTGTAAACAAGGTGTTTAACAAGAAATAATCCCCAATTTGTTGCTGCATAGCAAGAATCTCACTACACTACTTATCAGAAGCATAAAAGGTGGAGTGAGATACTGCCAATATGGAGATCAGCCTCACTGGACTTCTCATCTGATTCTACCACAAATCTTGGCAGATCGCACATTGCTCAGTACCCTATAAGATTCCATCTAGTGTTTTTGGGCCCTTCTGAAATGATTTCAGTCCATAAATATCCCAGATATTAAATCAGCTGAAAGAATTCAAAGATCGATAATCCATATTTTATATCATCATGACAAGTGCTGCCCTTATCATTGTTGTAGGAACAGGGGTAGGCTATTCAGCCCCTTGAGCCTGTTCCACCATTCAGTGAGATCATGGCTGATCTAATTCATGTATGTGCCTTTGGCCCATACCCCTCAATACCTTTGTTTCACAAAAATTATCTATCTCAGACTTAAAATTAACAACTGATCCAGCATCAACTGCAACTTGTGGAAGAGAGTTCCAAACCTTTACCACCCTTTTTGTGTAGAAATACTTCTGCCATCTTCCCTGAATGATCTGGCCCTATGTTTTAGACTTTCTGCCCTCATTCTCAAACCTCCAACCAGTTGAAATCATTTATCTGCCCTGTTTTTTCATGTTAATATCTTGAAGACTTCAATCAGTCCATTCCTTAATCTTCTAAATTCTCCAGCTGCAGTTTGCACTATCTTCAAGATACACTGCAACTGCTCGGTCAGGCCTCCTCAATAGCACTTTGCAAATCTACAGCACCATCTATAGCAAATCTATAGAAGGCAGACAGCAGACAGGTGGGAATGCCACCATCTGCAAGATCCCTTTCAAGTAACGCACAGTCCTACCTTGGAACTATATCACCATTCCTTTATTGTTGCTGGATCAAAATCCCAGAGGTCCTTTCCTAAGTTAACAGTGGGTCTGTCTACATCACTACTCTGTAGCAGTTCAAGGAAACAACTCGCCACTACCATCTCAAGGGCAATTAGAAATGGCAATAACACTTACATTCCACAAAGAAACTGCCACTGCCACTCAATAGGGATTTCTATTACTGAATCACTAGATCTGAATACCCCCTATAGCAGAAAACGTTTCTATAGAGTAAAATAACACCTTGCTGTAAACAATAAGGCCCAATGGAAATCTCATTATCCACTTGAATTAGTTACCTATCATCACTAGAAAGATATGGGCAGCCAACCAATGAAATTCAGAGACCCAACCCGCAAAACAGTTTAAGCTTCTTGCTGAGGTGACACCAAGTGGGTGTATTCATTGCCAAATCAATCCTTGACTACAATGAAATTTTTCTCCAGAGTATCAATTGTTTGACATGAATACTCATGAATAGTGTATCGGTCAACCTGTAAAAATGTTCTCAATATCACTGTCTGTTCATCGCACTCACTAACCACTTCTTTTATGTTTACGAATTTGTTTTGAATGGTTTATCACATGCATCCCATCTGGTGATCAACCAAAATAACTGAATTTACTGAATAAGAAAACTCTTTTAACTTTTACTAAACAATAAAAACCAAAACCAAAATAAATATGAACTAACAAACAAATTCAGGTCAATATAAACTATAAATTACACATCAAATAGCAAATGCAGTATGAGTAGATCTCAAGGATTCACAAGGCAGTCTGTTCAGAATTGTGACACCAATTTTAGCCAAAAAAATCCTTCAAGTCTCTCACCTTCCTCTCATCAATTTCTTCAAAGATTTAGCCACCAAATTTCATCCAACAGTAGCTCCCAATTAAACCTTATGCTGCTTGCACTGACTTCACCAAAATGGTTCAGTTCTACAGAACCACCTCAACTTTGTTCACGACAGTCTTGACGTGAATTCACCACTATTACCGATAACCCAGCCCTCTTGTGCAATGTCGGGCCAAGTCTAGTCAGTCAATAGCTTTAAGTAACAGGAGTAACTGCAGGAGCTTTGTAGTTTCTTGTTACTAGATCCTGGATCCACAGCCTTCATTTTCTGAAGTCCACCTGTACTGTACTGCTCAGTGATGCGAGTTCGGTTATCTCCCTGTCTTTTATCTGATTTCAACCAGCTTCAGTTTTGTCAGAAACCTGTAGTTTCCCTTTTGGTTTGGATACAAACTTTGAAACAAGTGTCAGTGTACTTAGGAGAATATACAATAATTTTTTTGTTCAGAAAACTCTTGCGCATATTCCCCCAATGGTCCTGCAGATGACTGGTTCCATCACAACTGCAGCAGTAACTCTGTGGTGATATAATTGTCATATTTTAAATAAATGTAATGGCATATTTTTACCATATGGAAAATCATGGAGCATATAGAAATTAGGATCCAAACTAAAACCAGACTTTGTTCATCTTTGATGAGTGTTCATTTTCTGTTTTTTTGTTTTTAATATTATAGGTTCAGCAAACCCAGATGTTATTAAGATCTCCTCTCTTCTGGATCTTAATTCCAAATTGGAAGCATACTACAAGAGAGGATATGTTGTTGTCACTATCCACCCTACAGTTCTTTCTATGGGGCAAAGAAAACGATCTCCACTGAGTTACATTTATAGAGTTATATTAACTAAAGTAAGATCAGGGTGAGTTAAATTCATAGCATTTAATATTTTACTTCTTATCATGAAGTCTGAAGTGCAAGTATAAGTTATAGTTCACAAAATGTAACAGCTTCATGTTAGAAAGTACTAATTAGTGCCACATTTTGTTTGAAGTAGCTAGTAATATCAAATTCTAAGTTCAGTAGGATAACACTGAAGACATTTAACAAGTTGACTGCATGAGAATAATAGAATTCAATTACAGTAGATAACTTCTTTTAAAACATGAGATTGCCAGGTACACTTTTAGTGTAAGTTTTAAGTATTTTTTACAGTGTGCTCTTCTCAATCATTAAATTGTAAGAAGGTGGTTTTATAATTCCTTTATTTCACAACAAATGTGTTCGAAAATCATTTGACCAAAACATTTTTATACTATCTGCATTTCTTTTGTAATACAACAATTATACCCTTACTTTTAATTATGTTTAATAGTGTTGTATATACTATGCTTATACAATGTTGTAATTCTACATGCAGCCAATAAGTGGGGGTGGTATGATGACGCAGTGATTGGCATTGCTGCCTCACAGCACCAGGGACCCAGGTCACAATCCAAAGATGTGCAGATTAGGTGGATTGGCCATGCAAAATTGTCCATAACGTCTAGGTGGATTAGCCCCATGGGAAATGCAGGGTTGCAGGGATAGGGTAGGGTTGGGTCTGGGTGGGATCTCTTCGGAGGGTTTGTGTGGACTTGATGGGCTGAATGGCCTGCTTCCACACAATAGGGATTTTATGATTCAGTCTGGCTGGAGTACGCAGGCTGCATACACACAAACAGTTGCTCTGACGTAATGTTGTTTTATAACTTACAATGTGTTTTGCTGTCTTGAATAAACAAAAGCCACGAATGATTGATTATCAGACCAATATCATTAACCTGACAAGGTGCAGAAATTGATACTGTCAGCTGTTTCAAAGCTTTAAGTAATATTGTGAAGAGTGCATTGAAAATTCTGAAGAGAAATAGCAAAACTAAAATTATGTGGAGCTGTCAGTATAACATTTATCGAATATGTCTTTAAGAAAACAGGACCAGAAAAAAAATGTTTAAACTGAATACTGGAAGTAATAGCTGCAGAATTAGAGCTGTAAGAAAGCTATTCCAAAAGTTAATACAAACCAGACAGACCAGTTTTGAGGCCTGAAAATCTTGAAAAAATTAGGAATCTTTTTGTTAATTGGAAAGCTCGTGGCTGCCATTTTAGAAGTAGAAAAGGCATAAATGTCTATTTTGCACCAATTAAAGAGAAACTACAAAGGATATTCCCCTGCTATCTTAAGAACACTAAGAAGATCTAAAATCTTTGACACGGTTACAACAGGTTCAAGACCTTTGTTAATTGCAACAATATTGCTACAAACAAATAAAAAACGCAGCAGCTTTGCCAAGAAGAAAACTTTAAAAAGGCAACAGCAGGTGAAATCAGTGCAGTGTCAATTTAAAATACAAATTGAGGATCGAGCTAGATGAAGCAGTTGGAATCATTAAAAGACTGCAGGCACACAGACTGGTGTAGCTAAATAACATGCATCATAAAGAGGACAGATCTTTGAGAATATGCCTTGATCCGCAATGTCTATTTGCTGCTTTGGAATGGTGCCCTAACAAAATACCCACTTTAGAAGAGCTAAATCCATGTTTTACAGTGCAAAAATTCTTTTTGAAGCTTGATACCGAACATGGTGACTGGTCAGTACATCTTGCAGAGCAACCTAAAGAGCTCACTCTCTTCCATACCCTATTTCGACTGTACTATTTCTAACAATGTCTCTTTGGGCTCAATAACAAACCAGATTTTTTTCAAGCTCACATTTGGACTGCTTACATCCACAAGAGCCATTCTGATTCTAAACATTAATTCTCTCTCTGTCCACAGATGCTGCCAGACCTGCTGAGTTTCTGCAGCATTCTCTGTTTCAGATTTCCAGCATCAGCAGTAATTTGCCTTTATGGATAACTGTTCTCCCTTTAAGACAATCTTCATTCAACAAAGGCTGACACAGTGGAGGGGCTGAGAATGGTCCTCACTCATATGAAAGAACTATTGGAAAGAAAAAAGATTTCTGTAATAAAGGGGGTTGACAGAAAGTTACCAATTGTCATACTGGTTTACCAAGAGATATTATTTGCTCTCAGAACTTCCACAACAGTAGTATGTTTTAACATAGGTCTCAGTTGCAAATGGTCATAACTGACATCAGGTCTAATCATAACTAGTTCAACTGACCAGTCAAACATCTAATAAGAAATTATAAGATGTCCTTGAAGTGGGACATCTTGTGTTTTGAAAAAATCATGGAACATTGAAATAACAACATGAAATATTGTGTTTCAACAACGTGGATAACAATTATTTCTACATGTTGAAAAAATAATTTTAAAGAAAAAGTTAGTGTGATATGTTAGTATTGACTATTATAATGTGAACATAAGTAAAAAGGCACATTTTATTTTGATTAGCTTTGGAAAGATTGTTACCAAAAGTTCAAATTTAAAGAGGAATCTGTTAATACCCGGTCAATCACAGTTGTCAAGATTTGTTAATTCTTTATTTAAAACTAAGAGAAACAACTGGTAGCTATTAATTGTCTGGACACAATACAAGGGCTCTTGTAACACAATGGTAGTGTCCCTACCCTGGACTGAGAGGTCTGGGTTTAAGTCCCACTGCTTCCAGAGGTGTTCAGTTATCCATAAGAGGAATTCTGGATATAAAAGAAACAAAAGGGCTGTAAGGCTGTTGTGATGCAGTGGTAGTCTCTACTACCTCTGAGCCAGGAGATCCGGGTTCGGGTCCCATCTGCTCCGGAAGGGAGTTATACATCCCTGGACAGATTGATTTTAAAAAAAGAAAATACAGTTAAAGGATTCCCGACTCTTGTGGTGAAGTGGTAGCATCCCCACCTTTGGACCATGGTTCAAGTCCAACCTGCCCCAGAGGTGTGCAACAACATCTCTGAACAGGTTGTTTAGGAAAATACCTAAATGTGAATGCAAGATGGTTTGGTGGCAGAGTGGTAGGGACAAATCCAACCTTCACCAGAGGGTGTGTGATAACATCTCTGAACAGGCTGATTAGAAAATACCTGAATGTGAACCCCAACATTCCTTTACAAAATTTTAAGAAACAATAAAAGGGCCGTTGTGGCACAGTGGGAGCATCCCTATTTCTGGACCACGATTCAAGCCTCACATGCTCCAAAGATGTTTTATAACTTCTCTGAACAAGTTGATTAGAAAATATCTTTGTGATCAATAAGTAGGAAAAAACTTTGACATTGGTTGGGGTGAGGGGTATGATTAAGGAGGTTTGTATGAGAGAAAATGCATATTTGTCTTGGTTTCAATCTCAGCAACTGGCTTGGGTTCTATTAACATAGGAGTGTCATTTTCTTGTAATATCATTTTCAAATTGCATCAAGTTTAAAATCAAGTTTTAAGATTAATTTATGATATTTCAGCTTCAATCTTAACCACCATGTACATGTCCCAACTTTTATTTTGCTGTTTGGGAAATGGTTGAAAAAATGAAATATAATATGCAAGCTAGGTGGATTGGCATGCTAAAATTGCCCATAGTGTTCAGGGATGTGTAGATTAAGGGGATGGGGTCTGGGTGGGACGCTCTGAGGGTCGGTGTGGACTTGTTGGGCTGAAGGGCCTGTTTCCACACTGTAGGGATTCTATATAAAAAAAATTTACTACTTGCTTTTCTGTGAATTCTTCATTCTGACTGCCTAATCAATTTCCTTGATTGCATCACTATTGTTGGATGGCATAGATCTCCAGTAGATGGCACCAGATTTAAAGACCTGTTGGAATACAGGTAATCAGACACCAGAGTCTGCTAAATCTTTCTGGGTAATATTTTCAGAGTCAACTGAAAACACTATCTCTCCATCACCATTATTTGAGTCATATATTTGTCTAATCTCATGTTAAGACATGTCCACCAACAGGGGCTGAAATTCTGCAGTGGTACCCCCAGCCCAATACTAGAGTTATTGGCTAGACACTGTTGAAATTTCATCCCTCTAGCTTTGCTTTTATTCCTCTTGAATATTTTTATATATTAACATTGAAGTTTTAAGGATGACAAGTATGAGTTTATTGTAGGTGAACTAGGTGAAAGAAAATGATGCCTTTCTCTAAACAAGTATCAATGAAAATTTATCTGATCCAGAACATTTTTTTTCAAAATGCTATAGATGATCTCTTTTCCACTTCCTGGTGCAATTAAACAGACACTGATCTGGACTGATAGATTCTATGGTTACATCATTTCCAATGTGAACCATTGGTTGCTTCATCTAGATATTTACAGAACATCTTAATTATTCTAAGAATTGTTATTTCTTATTCATTTCTCACATGTTCTGTTTATTTTACTTGAATACAGTATAAAGACGTCAGAACAAGGAGAACCAAGACACTTAAAGCTAGTTGTTGAAGAATGGTCTGTGAGCAATCAAACACTTACCATTGATGTTGTAAAAGGACTGTTAGAAAAGGTACTCTTTCTTGATGCCTACTGAGTTGATCTTTTTGCATCACTGTCAGATTTGAGAAAAGGCAAAAAATTGTTGTTTCGATGAATGAGGCCTTCTGACAGCACTTACATGTATGTTGTGCCTGCTTGTACAGAATAGTTAATCTTTGGTGTGTGCAGTGGATTAAGTGGCTCATATTGTGGCCATAAATGTATGCACTGCATACATATCAGTAACCAATACAGTTAAAGAGAAATAATTTTCAAAGTTGTGACCAGAGTGGATCTGTTTCATGTGTGTTAATTAAATTTGACATTTCCTCATTTGTTTAGGAGTCAGTAGAATGTATGTTTGAGGAGACTGTATGTTTTGTATATGTGTAAAGTTTACTAGAATCAAGCTCCAAAATACACACTCAATTCCAATGGAAGTAGAGTCTGGCAAAAGATATGTCCATCTTTAACCCCCCCAACACCAATTCCCACCACCTTGCCTCTGTGACATATGTCCTTTAGGAAATGAAAGAGCCAAAGAAAGTACATTTATGCTAAAGGAAAAGATCAATCAAGATGTAGCTTTTGCGATATTTCTACAAATAATGCTGTTACTTTAGGGATGTATCAGAAGAGGGCTCCTTAAGGGAGGAGTGATTCATTAAGGCACTATTGAAGGCCCCCTTCCTGGAACAGGCAGCACAATAGGAAAATGGAGCCCTTGCCAGAAATTCCGTAACGGTGACCTGTTATTGCCCTCCTCCCACAACAATAACCTGTTGTATACGCTCCCTAAACAACTTGGTGTCTAACAGCTTTTCTTTCAAATGAGAATGTTTACTTGTTTTTAAATAAGCAGCAGTGCAGTTTTTACTTCTGTGTTCTTGAATTTTAGGTGAATGACTTAACTAAGAAAGGAATGAGGTTTGTCGGATTTTTAAATCCACTCAGTACCCATTCAAAGGCCTGCAATGGTACAAAATCATCAAGAGAACTAGATGCAGATTTGGGACAGGATGTTGACCTTAAATTGCCAGATCAACAAAAGCAAAACCCCGATAACCATATAAAGTGCAGTGAGGAGACTTTTACCAAAAAGCCAATGGAATTTGCAACAGAAAGAGAACACTGTTGCAGTAAAGTCACTGATGTTTTAGAGAATAGACCAGCTCCAGAGGAGGATCTTTTGCATGGAAGAGAGAAAAGGATTGGAAACGAAACCTGTCCTTGCAGTGAACCAAAGGAAGGTTTGTCTTATTTATATTTTTTTGAAAATCATTACTTTTGTACTTACCTATTCTTGGTTATGTTGTTTATTTGCAAGATTACATATTCATGTGTTGAAATTTCTATGTTTAGTCCAGTTTCACAATGATGAAACATCTTTTATAGTGCATGTCAATGAACAAAGTGAAACAATAAAAAAGCTGCTCTTAATCTAGATTTTTAGATCAGTTCCTGTCTTGTTAAATTGTAGAAGATCATTAAAACACTTTTTTGATTTTAGGTGCGTGGTACCTATGATACAGGCAAGATTATAGCACATTATGGTTTAATCTGATCCTATGGGAACCCTTTTAGAATCACAGAAGTGTTACAATGCAGAAGGAGGCCGTTCAATCCATCATGCCTGAACTGGCTCATTAAATGAGCATCATTACTTGGTGTTGATCGCTTGATTTTTTTCCATTGAGTTGCACATTATTTTTATCCAAAAAGCATTCAATGCCTTCTTGAATGCCTCAGAACCTGCCTCCACTACACTTCTTGGCAGTGTATTCCATTCCTTCACTGGTTGCTGAGTGAAAACATTTTTACTCATTTCTCCCTTGCTTCTTTGTGGTTCACGTTAAATCTAGCATTTGTATGGTGCCAAAGCTACTTGTCACTTGCAGCCCAAATCTGTCCAGATCTTGTTGCATTTGAATATGGCTAGCTTCAGTATCTGAGGAGTTGCAAATGGTGCTGAACATTGTGCAATTATCAGCGATCATCCCCACTTCTGACTTTATGATGGAGGGAAGGTCATTAATAAAGCAACTAAAGATGGTTGGGCCTATGGCACCACCCTGAGGAACTCCCATAGAGATGTACTGGAGCTGAGATGACTGACCTCCAATAACCACAACCATCTTTGTATATGCCAGGTTTGACTCCAACCAGCGGAGCGTTTGCTCCCTTATTCCCATTGATTCCAATTTTGCTCGGGCTCCTTGACTCAGGTTAATGACTTCCTGCACTCTGCAAGGATAAGTGCCACCATCTTCTCTTGACCACGTATCCATTGGAGAGTTTGTCGATGGTGGTCAGGCATTGGAAAAGGGAAAGTGAATTACTCATCACAGAATTTCTTGCCTCTGATCTGCACTTCTAGCCATAATATTTGTACGTCTGATCCAGTTGGATTCTGGTCACTGGTACCACGCTCCCAATTCCCTGGCCAAGCTGTTGATAATGGAGCAGTTCGGCAGTGGTAATGCCACTGATTGTCAAGAGACAGCGATTATTGCCTGGCACATGTGGCATGAATGATACTTGCCACTTAGCCCTAGCTTGGATGTTGTCCATGTCTTGCTGCATATGGATCTGGACTGCTTCAGTATCTGAAGAGTCATGAATGGTGTTGAACGTTGTGCAGTCGCCATCTGGGAAGATGATTGAAGTGGCTAAAGACTGTTGGACCTAGGACACCACCCTTAGATATGAGTGCAACCACTGAGAGCTTTCCCTCTGATTTCCATTGACTCCAGTTTTGCTAGGGCTCCTTGAAACCATACTTGCTTAAGCGCTGCCTTGAAATCAAGTGCAGTCACACTCATCCCCCTGGAGTTCAGCTGTTTTGACCACATTTGGACCAAAGCTGTAATGAGGTAAGGAGCCAAGTGGCTATAGCAGAACCCAGACTGAGCATCTGTGAACAAGTTACTTATTTGCAACTACTGCTGGATAGCACTGTCAATGACACTTTTCATCATTTTGATTGCTAGTAGGCTGATAGAGTTGTAATTGATCAGATTGGATTTGTCCTTCCCTTTGTGAAAAAGACATGCCTTGGCATTTTTTCACATAGCCAGATAGATGCCAATGTTGTAGCTTGGCTAGGGGAATAGCTACTTATGGAGCAAATGTCTACAGAACTATTGTCGGATTATTGTCAAAGCTATTAGCCTTTATAGTAGCCAAGTGTCTTCAGTCTTTTTTTGATAATGCATGAAGTGAATTGATTGAAGACTAGTATCTGTGATTTTAGGAACCTAAGGAGGCAAAATGGATCATCCACTCAACACCTCTGGCTGAAGATGAATGCAAATGCTTCTGCTATATCTTTTGTGCTGATAGAAACATAGAAGATAGGAGCAGGAGGAGGCCATTCAGCCCTTGGAGCCTGCTCCGCCATTCATCAAATCAATATCCTAATCCTGCTTTCTCCCCAAAACCTTTGATCCCGTTTGCCCCAAGTGCTATATCTAGCTGCCTCTTGAATACATTCAATGTTTTGGCATCGACTACTTCCTGTGGTGATGAATTCCACAGGCTCACCACTCTTTAGGTGAAGAAATGTCTCCTCATCTCTGTCATAAATGGTCTACACTGAATCCTCAGACTGTAACCCCTGGTTCTGGACACACCCACCTTCAGGAACATCCTCCCTGCATCTACCCTGTCTAGTCCTGTTAGAATTTTATATGTCTCTATGAGATCCTCCTCATTTGTTGGAGCTCCAGCAAAAACAGTCCTAACCTAGTCAATCTCTTGTACGTCAGTCCCGCCATCTCCAGAATCAACCTGGTAAACCTTGGCTGCACTCCCTCAAGAGCAAAAGCATCCTTCCTTAGAAAAGGAGACCAAAACTGCACAATATTCTAGGTGTGGCCTCAGCAGTGCCCCGTATAACTGCAACAGCATATCCCTGCTCCTGTACTTGAAACCTCTTGCAATGAAGGCCAACATACTATTTGCCTTCCTTACCACCCACTGCACCTGCATGCATACCTTCGGCGACTGGTGCACAAGGACACCCAGGTCCCACTGCACAATCCCCTCTCCCAATTTACAGCCATTCAGGTAGTAATTTGCCTTCTTGTTTTTGCTTCCAAAGTGAATAACATCACATTTATTCAGATTATACTGAATCTGCTGCTGATTTGCCCACTCACCCACCCTATCCAGATCATGTTGAAGGATCTCTGCATCCTCCTCACAGATCACCTCCCACCCAACTTGGTATCATCTGCAAACTTTGAGATGTTACATTTTGTTCCCTCATCCAGATCATTAATATATATTGTGAATAGCTGGGGTCCCAGCATTGATCCCTGCCAATTTGAAAAGGACCCATTAATTCCTACTCTTTGTTTCCTCTCTGCCAATCAGTTTTCTATCCATCTCAATACACTTCCCCCAATCCCATGTGCTTTAATCTTGCACAGTAATCTCTTAAGCGAGACTTTGTCAAATGCTTTCTGAAAGTCCAAATATACCACATCGACTGGCTTCCCCTGGTCAACTCTACTAGTTACATCTTCATAGAATTCTAACAGATTTGTCAAGCATGATTTCCCCTTCATAAATCCATACTGACTGTGTCTGATCCTACCACTGCTTTCTAAATGCTCCACTATAAAGTCCTTGATAGTAGTTTCAAGAATTTCCCCACTGCCGATGTTAGGCTTACAGACCTATAATTACCTGCTTTCTGTCTACCTCCCTGTTTGAATAATAATGGAGTGACATTAACTACCCTCCAATCTGCAGGGACTGTTCCAGAGTCCATAGAATCCTGGAAGATGACCACCAATGCATCCACTATTTGTAGAGCCACTTCCTTAAGTACTCTGGGATGTAGATTATCAGACCCTGGGGATTTATCTGCCTTCAATCCCATCAATTTTCCCAGCACCATTTCTCTACTAATATTGATCTCCCTCAATTCTTCCCTCTCATTAAATCTTTCATTGTCCAACATTTCTGGTATCTGATTTGTGTCCTCTTTTGTGAAGACAGAATCAAAGTGTGTATTCAGTTGCTCAGCCATTTCTTTGTCCCTTATTATACATTACCCCATTTCTGTCTATAGGACCTACATTTGTCTTCACCAATCTCTTTCTCCACATATGCCTATAGAAATTCTTAGTGTCAGTCTTTATGTTCCCTGCAAGCTTACTGTATTTTCTCCCTCTTAATCAATCCCTTGGTCCTTTGCTGAATTCTAAATTGCTCCCATTCCTCAGACATATTTTTCTTGGCCATTCTGTGTCCTTCTTCCTTGGATCGGCTACTATCTCTAATTTCCTTTGTAAACCATGGATTGGTCCCCTTACCCATTTTGCTTTGTGCCAGACAGGAATAAACTGTTGTTGCAGTTACCCCATACGTTCCTTCAATATTTGCCATTGCCAATCCACTGTCATCTCTTTAAATAACTCTCCCCAGTCGATCAACGCCAACTCATGCCTCATATCTTCATAGTTTCTTTCATTAAGATTCAGCACCCTAATCTCCTAATCAACTACGTCCCTCTCCATCTTTATAAAACAAAGTTCTATCATGATATGGTTGCTCATCCCTAAGGGGTCTCACACAGCTATCCCAATGACTCCAATCAGTCCATGCCGACCATGCTCCCAAACTAAACTAGTCCAACCTGCTTGCATTTGGCCAAATCCCTCCAAATCTTTCCTATTTTGGTCAAGAAAACCATCCTGTATACACTCCAGGAATTCCTTCTCTATGGCATTATAGCTAATTTGATTTGCTGGACACCGTCAATGAGGATGAGGATATTGTGGAGCCTCCACCTCATATTTAGCTGTTTTAATTATCCCATTTTTAGGAAAGAAACAATTGGTGATTTACTTACAAGTATCATTTTTGTCCATCTTGCTTTTTCTTAACTCTTTTTTCTGGCATGTGCATTCCGCTGGCTGGTCAGCAGTTATTGCCTGTCCCTAGCTGCCCTTGAGAAGGTGGTGGTGAGCTACATTTTTGAACCGCTGCAGTCCACCAGCTGTGGGTTGGCACACAAAGGGAGGGAATTCCAGGATATTGACCAGGCGTCAGTGAAGGATCAGCGATATATTTCCATGTCAAGATGGTGAGGGGCTTGGAGGGGAACTTGCAGGTGATGGTGTTTCCGTGTATATGCTGCCCTTGTCCTTCTAGGTGGAAGTTGTTGTGGGTTTGGAAGGTGCTGTCTGGGGATCTTTGGTGAATTTTTGCAGTGCTTCTTGTAGATAGTACACACTGTTACTACTGAGCATCAGTGATGGAGGTAGTGGATGCTTTTGGATGTTGTGCCAGTCAAGCGTGCTGCTTTGTCCTGGATAGTCTCATCCCCACTTGTTACTTTACGATGGTGGAGAGGTCATTGATGAAGCAGCTGAAGATGGTTCAGCCTAGGACACTACCCTGAGGAATTCCAGCTGAAATACCCTGGAGCTGAGATGACTGACCTCCAGCAACCATGACCATCTTCCTATGTGCTAGGTATGACTCCAGCCAGCGAAGAGTTTGCCCCCGATTCCCATTGATTCCAGTTTTGCTTGGGCTCCTTGATGCCACACTTGGTTGAATGCAGTCTTGACGTCAAGGGCTGTCACTCTCACCTCACCTCTGGAATTCAGCTCTTTTGTCCATGTTTGAAATAAAGTTGTAATGAGGTCAGGAGCTGAGTGTCCCTGGCAGAACCCAAACTGACATCTCTGAGCAGGTTATTGCTGAGCAGGTGCTGCTTGATGAGACCTTCCATCACCATACTGATGATCAAGAGTAGACCGATAGGGTGATAGTTGGCCAGATTGGATTTCTCCTGCTTTTCATATACAGGACATACTTGGGCAATCTTCCACATTGTCGGGTAGAAGCCTGTGTTGTAACTGTACAGGAACAGCTTTGCTAGGGGAAGTAGCATGTTCTGGAGCACGAGTGTTCAGTACTATTGCCAGAAAGTTGTCAGGGCCCATAGCCCTTTCTCCAACCGTTTCTTTATATCACATGGAATGAATCAAATTGTCTGAAGACTGTTATCCGTAATGCTGGGGACTACTGGAGTAGGCCAAGATGGATCATTCACTTTGTACTTCTGGCTGAGAATTGCTGCAAATGCTTCAACCTTATCTTTTGCACTGATGTGCTGGGCTCTTCCATCATTGAGGATGGGGATATTTGTGGAGTCTCCTCCAGTGAGTTGTTTAATTGTCCACTTCCATTCACGACTGGATGTGGCAGGACAACAGAGGTTAGATCTGATCTGTTAGTTGTGATATCGCTTAGGTCTGACTATCACTTGCTGCATATGCTGTTTGTCATGCAAGATTGATAAGGACGTGGTCAAGTTTGTTTATGCCCCATGTTGGTTTCCTTACCAACTGCTGCAGACCCAATCTAGCAGCTATGCTGTGTAGCAGAATCCACTCTAAATGGAAAATAGTAATATTCCTATAGTAATAGTATGAATCATACAATGTACAATTTTAAGACTACTTATTTTACAGATCATTCATGTAGTGATGCCATTTCTTTAAGAGGTTTATTTTGTCCCTTTTTATGAAGGATGAAACAGAAGTGAAGTGCAGGCTGCTCGAAGCCAGTAAAGTAAACAGCTTATAAGACCTTCTTTTTAAAGTTTTTTAAAGAACAGTCGAAGCAACCTGAATGGGTGGGGTCATGCTCCTAAAGGCCCAGGATTTTGTTGTAGCTTTCAGCAGTTGCTGCGGTGTTGAAGCTGGATGTGGAAGCTCTTATTCCTGTCTCTGTGTTACAGTTAAAAGCGGCGGTTCGCTTCCTGCTGCTAGAATTGCATGTGAGACAATCTATTTGACTGAATTTGCCTTTGCCAAAGGTGTGTTTATGGGATATTACTATATTGGAACAGTTAATTAGTGGTAACTAATATATATATATTACTTTGTTAAGCCTTTCGATAGAGTTACAGTTAAGCAAACTCTTCTATTTTTATTTGTCTGTATTTTAACTGTAGTATAAAATTAAAGTGTGTTTTGCTTAAAGTAGGTTGACCAATCAAATTGCATCTGGAACACAATGCCTTGTACTTAACCTTTAACTTCAGAAAATTTAGGGTCTAGGAAATCTTTTTAATATATTTTGAGGGGGTTTGGTCCATAATGTTCACTTCAACATTAAAACTTTCTAAAGTTTGGCTGTACCATTAATGCACATGAGTTTGCTTGTTTGTCAAACAGGTTTCCAAACGAAGCACAACATAGGTGAGGAAACTCTCTCCAGGTTTAGCTACATTTCAGCTGTCACTTAGCCAACTGACTTTTTTTTTATTGAACTAGCCAGAGTAGGACAGTGACATGCTTTGGAGCACCAATATCTTTGAATCTGGGTTCCACTAATTGAATAATCCATGTAAGTGAATTAATGTGGTGTGAAGCAATGTTGATCAGAGACCAGTGGGAGAAAATGGGGAGTGATCCCTCGTTCCGTCTTAAATGTTGCATTTTGTTTCAGCTTAGGTCAGATGCAAGTAATCTGGATGTCTTCTGATGCTTTAGAACATACACAGCATGGCAACTGATTTTATTTTTAGCATAATAAAAGTTGCAAAAAGAAATGAGAAGCTTGGGAAAATAATTCATCATTCTGTACGCATCCATTTTCAATTCTGGGGAAAAGCATCTTTAAATGGAGTTATTTTGGCCTAACTCAACCAGTGGAAAACTTAAATCAGCTTGTCATTGTATCCCTCCCAAAGCAGTGATGAAGTTTGCTGTTTTCCCTGCCTCCCACTGTTGGGAGCTTATCATTTGTCAATCCAAACTTCAATTACTATCAGGCAATTGAGTTGCAGAGCAAATGTTGATGTAATGCTGTCAGCTTCTCAGAAGCAAGTTAAATCAAGGTTATCTACTCTACACTGCTGAATTGCCTTTCACAGTTATAGCTCTGCATGGAGAATGTACTTGATCTGCTACCTTGCTATGTTCATTTTTTGTGTGCCTTTTACAGAAGTCTGACAGCATATTAATTTCATTCTAGATTTCAAACTGTTTGCTGTGTTCAATGTGTCGGATGAAGACTTCAGTGAACGGTCCTACCATGAAGGCAATATATCACTCAGAGTAACAAGGAAGGGCCAAACCATTTGTACCCTGGAGGCAGATTGGTTGGAAATCACAACATCTTATTATAAAAGTGGGATGTCGTTGGTTGATTCATTCATAGTTTGGGAAACAATGAAAGGTGAATACCATTTTCAGTTGTATTATGTGATAAGTTATTGCCAGTACTGTGGTGGTGTTAGTGGAGTGGTGACAATTGACTTTGATGCAATAAGTAGCAAACTGCTGAATAAATTTAATACATTCCAATCAAAGGATCAAGGTTATAAAGTGGCTGAGTGTGATCTGTGATAGTTAAAGAACTTGGCAGGATGACGGGTGTTTCTGGGATATCCAGTAAAAATGCTGCAGAACAGAAATAACAATGAGTTTCAAAGATGTTTTTACCTATCACTTAGAATTGGAGACATAGATATTAATTGGACTATTAGTAATCCTGATAGAATCCCAGCCATCCTTAAGGGAACTGTCAGACTGACAAGGATTTTGCTCACCAATCATGAAACCAGCAGGCAACCTCTGCCGGTTATTTTTCTTTATTTTTTACATAATATTAATGGATTGTTGTCCAAGTTGTGGAGAATTTTGGAATTGTGTTCTGTTATGACCATTTTTCCTCATGTACACACAATGTTAGATTTAACACAAACCTGTCGCAGCAGGACCCATATAAAAACTGAAAGAATTGCAGGTCCTATTCTCCAAAAGCAGCTATTCACCCTCCTAGCCAAATCATTATCCACTCCTTTGTCTGTCCACCTGCTGTTCTCTCTCTTTGGGCTCTATCCCCACCCTATCTCCTGCACATAAACCAACATTTTCCAAGCTACCATCAGTTCTGAGGAAGGGTCACCAGACTCAAAATGTTAACTGCAATTTCTCTTCACAGATACTGCCAGACTTGCTGAGCTTTTCCAGCAACTTCTGTTTTTGTCGCAGCAGGAACCATTGTGGCTGGATCCACTCAATCATGGGACACGCCACTCATCAGTCTCTCCCAGCAGCAGCTCCTCCCTCAATTAACTCCAGGTAGTCATAAAACAGAGATAGTAGGAACTGCAGATGCTGGAGAATCCGAGACAACAAGGTGCAGGGCTGGATGAACACAGCAGGCCAAGCAGTATCATAGGAGCAGAGAGGCTGATGTTTCGGGCCTAGACCCTTCATCAGAAAAGGGGGAGGGGAAGGGGATTGTGAAATAAATAGGGAGAGAGTGGGAGGCGGATAGAAGAGGGATAGAGGAGAGGATAGGTGGAGAGGAAACAAACAGGTCGAAGAGGCGGGGATGGAGCCAGTAAAGGTGAGTGTAGGTAGGGAGTTAGGAAGGGGATAGGTCAGTCCAGGGAGGACGGACAGGTCAAGGGGGCGGGATGAGGTTGGTCGGTAGGAGATGGAGGTGCGGCTTGAGGTGGGAGGAGGGGATAGGTGGGAGGAAGAACAGGTTAGGGAGGCAGGGACGAGCTGGACTGGTTTTGGGATGCGGTAGGGGGAGGGGAGATTTTGAAACTTGTGAAATCCACATTGATACCATTAGGCTGCAGGGTTCCCAAGCGGAATATGAGTTGCTGTTCCTGCAACCTTTGGGTGGCATCGTTGTGGCACTGCAGGAGACCCAGGATGGACATGTCGTCTGAGGAATGGGAGGGGGAGTTGAAATGGTTCGCGACTGGGAGGTGCAGTTGTTTGTTGCGAACCGAGCGTAGGTGTTCTGCAAAGCGGTCCCCGAGTCTCCGCTTGGTTTCCCCGATGTAGAGGAAGCCACACCGGGTACAGCGGATGCAGTATACCACATTGGCAGATGTGCAGGTGAACATCTGCTTAATGTGGAAAGTCTTCTTGGGGCCTGGGATGGGGGTGAGGGAGGAGGTATGGGGGCAGGTGTAGCACTTCCTGCGGTTGCAGGGAAAAGTGCCAGGTGTGGTGGAGCTGGAGGGGAGTGTGGAGCGGACAAGGGAGTCACGGAGAGAGTTGTCCCTCCGGAAAGCAGATAAGGGTGGGGAGGGAAAGATGTCTTTGGTGGTGGGGTCGGATTACAGATGGCGGAAGTGTCGGAGGATGATGCGTTGGATAAAACAGGGCTGATTTGGGATTATTAGCTGGCAGAATCTGGATGCTAAATAGGCTGATTAATGATCCAATTGACAACCATTATCCCTGAACCCACAACAGTTTCATGGTGGCTCAGGAATTTAGTTGGGCTGCATGGAATTCTCATCCCTTTACCAACAAACCCTTCTGGATCCCAGTAACTATCACCACCTTTGTGTACAACATTCAGTGATTCTCGTTTTATTTTTCTCGTCATAAGGCAGATAATGCAACACAATAGTTGCCTCCCATGGGTAATTCAGAAGTGCTTAAATTAAACTAGTTTAGCTTTATGACTATGGTTTGAGGTTATAATCTAATGATGATTTTCATTTTTAGTTATGTATAAAATGACATTGGCATAATTCAATTATCTATTCTCCAAGACTGTTAAATTAGTTTGCTTCTGTTTCTGAGTCCAGATTAGGGGCTGTGTGACCAGTGTGCACCTGAACCAGAGGTCCAAGTGTTAATGGAAATGGGACTCTGCATTATTTTGTATGTTACTGATTGGACACCTTTAATGTCAAGCATTTGACTCTCAAACAACAGACTACTCCCAAAAGGGATGATTCAAGTCATGGGACAAGAACACAATCATAACCTGTATCGGAGAAGCACTCCTGCTGTCCTTGGGGGTAGAGTGTGTTTGGTAAATAAATGGTAGTCACCTCCATGGAGCTAGGGCATGCAAAAGGGCCATGATTGGGCCAGGACCAAGTCCAACACATCCGTTGCATGTTTACTTCCTAGTGGAAGCCTCCAACAGAAATTAGGCCTAAATTTATATATTTAAATGGCATGACATGCTTAAAATTGCTTCTCATCCAGTTGAGCAATGACTACAGGCTATATCAGTGTTAAATTGGTTTGCTTTTGCTAATTTTGTCGCTGACAAATAGGTACAACACTTAATTTCTAGCACTATAATTCTTCTGATAAGTGACTTTAATTGCCGGCGTGAGAATCAACTGACAAGTGAAGAACAGAATACCACAGCAAAGTAAAGTTTTTTTATAATTATTAAGTTTTACCCACTGACCTGCTTTCCCAGTGGATGTACAGCTATTTTAAAATCTATTATTAACTGATACCTTTATCTGAAAACGATTTAACAAAGCATCAGTTTGCTCAATGACAAGTATTTGAGTCAAATAGTTTAGAACTTTGAAGTAAAGCCACAAGGAAGGTTTAACATTTAAAGTCGATTATTCGGGACTGCTGCGAGCAGGAACCTGTTCATTTCAACTGGAAGTTGAACTTTGTATAAGCAATGAGAAATTCACCCCAAGTGTAAATAACATTATCCCCCAGGGTCGTCTTGCCTTTACTTATTTAAAAATCAGTAAAGGCAGGTATCCAAATTGCCTGACTGAAACCAGTTTTGGGCTTTTTCTATATTTGCAAATCAAGGAGCTAATTCCTCCTATCCTCCATCCTGGAAACTGGACAAAACTTGATTAACCAAATCAGAGATAGTAGGAACTGCAGATGCTGGAGAATCCGAGACAACAAGGTGCAGGGCTGGATGAACACAGCAGGCCAAGCAGCATCATAGGAGCAGAGAGGCTGACGTTTCGGGCCTATTATGTTAGTTCTAACTGCTTTTTCCAGGTCTTTTAAAGAGATCACTAGAGGCTACCAAAAATATCAGATTGTGCAAAAAAAAAGAAGAATTTCAGTCATTGCAGCAGCAGTGAGTAGCGAATTATTCTAATTGAATGCCAAATGCAGCGATTGGTGGGGACTCCCACAGGATTGTCCCAGCACTGTGGTGGACCCTGGCTGACTACTGAACCTAGTTTAGAGACAACAACCAAAGAGGCCATCGGAGCCTCAGATTTCTTGCCCATGTGAAAGGGGTGAAAAGCCACACCTTAAGATACAATCAATATTTAGGAGATTTCCTGTCAATTTTAATGGTCCTACCAGCTTTGGGCCTCATTTTTAGTTTTAGCATTTCATGCACATTTTCTCCATTTTGATGCACATTCGCAGTTATTTAACCCACTCAGCGACACCCATCTTCCCCAGTGGAGTTCCAGCTGTCCACAGCTGCAGACCTTCTTATTGGTCCTGAGTCTACAGAAACTGCTCTCTATCCTTAATTGGACAGCAAACATGGAGGTAGCCAGTTAATCAAGCTTAAACTGCTATTTTTTCTGTAACTAGGTTTACTTCAGAAATTCTTACATGTGTGCTTCTCTGTGACAGTAATAAGTGTAGCTTTGAACAAGGCACTAGCAGTTGGGTAAGTAGGAAAGTTAGGGAGGAGAGGAAGAGGATGCTCTTTTGCACAGTTCTCATTAGTACCCTGTATAATTGTAACAAAACTTCCCTAATTTTAAATTCCATCTCACAAGTAATAAAGACAAATTCCATTTGCCTTCTTACTTGCTGCACCTTCATGCTAACTTTTTTTTTGTTTCATGCTGAAGAACACCCAGGTCCCTGTATACTGCACTTTTTTGAGTCTTTTTTTAAGTAATAATCTACCTTTTTGATTCTTCCTACCAATGTGCTTGACCTCTCATTTTCTGACATTGAACTCCACCTGCCAAGTTTTTACCCACTCACACAACCTATTTCAATCACCTTGCAGATTCCTTTTGTCTTCATCACCACATGCACTCTACCAATTTTTGTAGGTGAACAAATTACTGCCCCTTCCACTCCAAGTTATTAATGCAGATAGTAAATAATTAAGGTGCTTAAACTGATCCTTGTGGCACTAATTACGTCTTTCCGACCTCAAAAAGGATGGTTAATTTTGACACAATGGAGGAGCAAATTACTGCAGATGCTGGAATCTGTACTGAAAACAACAAATGCTGGAGATCACAATATTTAATGTTTTCATTAATCTTGACTGTTTTCTGTGTTAACCAAACCTCAGTCCATGCTAAGGCATTACTCTCAATACCATGGGCTCCTATCTTGCACAATAACCTTTTTATGTGACAACTTATCAAATGCTTTCTGGAAATCCAAATGTACCATGTCTACAGGTTTCCCTTTATGAACTCTAATGATTATATCCTCAAAGAATTCTGGCAAAGTTATCAAACATGATTTCCTTTTCACAAAACTACATTGACTGTGGCTGTGTTTTGGAATACAAGGCTCAAATACTAACGTGAATAAGTGGGATCTGGTTCATGGGGCACAGGTACTTATTCTGGGGAAAGTGGAATCTGTATCGTTGGGACTATGCAAACCTGAATCATGCTAGAATTGGAGTTCTAGCAAGCCACATAATAAGGGAAGTAGAGCAGAGGAAGTATGAAAACAAAATAGGGTAAGGGATCAAATTTAGAATGATATGGATGTAAAATGGCAAGGAAATCAAAGAGTAGAGACACAACAAGAAAAAAGATTTCAAGGAAAAATTGGCAACTTTTCACTGTACTTTTTGTAAAAATACATGTGACAATAAATTACTATTCTATTCTAAATGATAAACAAACTATGCAGGGAGGAATAGAGATTACACGTCTAGAAGTATACAGCTGATAAGGATAGAGTTTACAAAAATAACACAAGGATTAAACTAATGATTGTATCTGAACACACATTGCTCTTGAATCAAAAATAAACAAAAAACACTAAAATCTGAGCCATGGCTGCAGGGTAACATGGTTAAGGATCTAAAGATTAAATCTCCTGTACCTTTTGAAAAAGACAAGAAACTAGGAAAAGGAGGAGGGATAGCTTTGTTAATTAATGGTATTTATTGCACAGACAACGTTGACCTAAGTTTTAGAAACCAGGATCTACAATTTGTTTAGGGAGAAATGAGAAATGATGACGGCAAGAAGTCATTTGTGGTAGTAGTGTTACACATGATATGGCAGAGTATGAAGGGAGAAATATTGGGAGCCTGTCAGGAAGGTACAGTGATAATCATAGGGGATTTCAATTTGTATATGGACTATAAAAATCAGATGGTCAAAGATAGCCTAGATGAAAAGTTAATAGAATATTTTCAAGATCGTTTCTTAAAACAGCATATTCTGGAGTTCACCAGAGAGCGAGCCACACCAGACGTGGTATTGTACAACAATGTAGGATTAATTAATGATCAAATAGTGAAGGTGATTCTAGGTAGCCGTAATCATATGGTTAAATTTTGCATTCCATTTGAGGGACAGAAGAGTGGACCAAAATGAGTATTCTGCTACTAAATGAAGTCAGAAATTAGGACATGAAAGCAAAGCCATCTAAAGCAACTAGGCAAATTGGGATAAGGAATACATCAATTGAGAAGCAGTTGTGGACATTCAAGGGGATATTTCACGGTACACAGAATTGATACATTCCAACCAGTAAGAAAATTTTCAATGGGAGGACCCACTTTTAGTAATTAAAATGTTAAAGTTAGTATTAAACATAAAAGAAAAACAAAAATGGGTGACAGTTCTGAAGAATGGACCAAAAGTAGAGAACAGCAAAGAGTGACTAAAAGAGCAAAAAATTTAAGAGTATGAGAGAAAGCTAGCTATAAATATAAAGGCAGTTTCTATAGATGTTTTAAAGAAAATAGTTAACCTACTGACAAATAGTCTTAGAGAATGAGTCTGGGGGATTAACAATAGAAAATAATAAGATGGCAGATGAATTGAACAAGTACTTTACATCAGTCTTCACTATAGAGGGTCCAGGTCATATCTCGGATATAGCTGTAAATAGAAAGGAGGGAGGAAAGTGCAAACAACAGGGAAATTGCATTGAATAAATTGTTGGAGCTGCAGGTTGAGAAGTCTCTGGGTCCTGATGGACTTCTTCCTAGGTTCTTAAATATCTCGGTAGACACTTCTTTTGAGGCTTTATTTTTAGTGTTCCAAAATTTCCTAGATTTAGGGATGGTACCATTAGATTAGAAAATAGCAAATTCATTTATTAAAAAGGGAGGGAGACAGAAAGCTGGAAACTTCAAGTCAGTTAACTTAATGTCCATCATAGAGAAGATGTTTAAAGCTAAAGCTATTATAGAAGGGCAGTTACAAAAATTGAGGGCAGTCAGGAAAAGTCAACATGGCTTTTGTTTAACCAATTTATTTTACCTTCTTTGAACAAGTGATGCATGCTGCAGATAAAATGAAACAGGTGGATGTGCTGAGATTTCCAGAGACATATGATTAGGTGCCATATGAAACACTTTTGTGGAAAATAAGAGATCATGATTTGTGATAATATTGATATGCATAAACTATTAGCTAGCTGACAGGAAATAACAAGCAGACGTAAATGGGTCATTTTCTGTTTGATAAGATGTATTGAGTCATGTGCCACAAGAAATTGCACTGGGGCCTTTACTTTCTACATGTTATAAACTACATGGATGAAAGCACTGAAGGTATGGTTCTTCAATCTGCTGACCACATATGCAGAAAAGTAAGTTGTGACGAGGACTTAAGGAGGCTACAAAGGTATATAGATAGGTTAAATGAGAGGTCAAATTGATTATGGAGTTGGAACATGTGAAACTGTCCATATTAGCAGGAAAAATAGGAACGATGTTCTCACCTATTTCGATAATATGCTTCTATCTGAGACATGGGAAAATCTGGATGTCCTGGGGCATGAATTTCAAAATATTCATTTGCAGATCGCAAAGAAACTAGGGAATCTAATAGAATGTTATTATTTACCAGTTTAAGGTGACTTGAATACGAAAGTAGGGAGATTATGCCATAGTTAGGCAGCGTAGTGGTGAGATTGCATCTGGAATACTGTGAACTGTATTGGTCTGTTTTTTTATTATTCAGGGAAATATATAAAGTCAATGGATAGCAGTTCAGATAAGGTTTACTAGACCAAATTCAGAATTGGTGGATTATTCATGAGGAAAGTTTGAGCAGGCCATATTGCTATAAACCGGAGTTTAGAAGGATAAGAAGTAACGTGATAGAAACACTAGATCCTGAGAGGTCTTCAGGGGGTGGGTGTGTTCAAGATTTTCCTCATAAAAGTATGTAGAACTAGGGGACCATTGTTTAAAAATAAGGAGACCGTTTAAGACTGTGATCAGGCAAACATTTTTCAAAGTCCTGAGTTTTTGGAACTCCCCTTTCTGAAAAGTTAGAGAAGTGGAGTCTTTGAATATTTTTAAGGCGGATCTACCTAGGAATAGGATTAGGCCATTCAGCCCATTGAGCCTCCTCCACAATTCAATTCGATTATGACTGATTATTTACCTCAATTCCACTTTCCTGCACTTTATCTATATCCATTGATGTTATTAGTCTTCAGCAATCTAATTCTGTGTTAAGCATGCTCAATGATTGAGATAGCTCACTGGGGTAGAGAATTCAAAGATTCAACACCTTGCCTACTCATTTAACTTATCTATATACCTCAGGTCTTGATCTCAGTGCTTATGCAGCATTTGCCATCCCAATTGCTTGCTGCACCTGAACCTTTAATGGCTTGTAAACAAGATCGCACTGAATCCCTTTGGACTCTTATATCAATAAAGAGATATTCTGCCTTTGCTTATTTTTATTCCCACCAAAGTGAATAATTTCAAACTTATTCACATTATAAGGCATCTGCCATTTTCTAGCCCATTCACTTACCCTGTCCAAGTACTCTTAACGCCACCTTGCATCGTCATCGTGACATGTGTTCCCATCCACTTTGGTGTTGGCCACAGATTCAGAAATAATACAATTCTCCATTCTTCCTCTTCCCCAGTCCCTCCTTTCTTAAATAGTGGGGTTAAAGTTACTACTTTCCAGTCTGCAGGAACATTTCCTGAATCCATAGAATTCTTAAAGATAACCACCAATGCATCCACTGCCTCTCTAGTCACCTGCTTCAAATCCCTAGTTCAGGAAATTAATCATCCTTCAGTACGGTTAGGATCTGGAATGCAGTTCCAGGAAATGTGGTGGAGATATGTTCAATTGAGGCATTCAAGGGGCACTGGATAATTTTTTGCATAGTAATATTGTGCAGGGATGTAGGAAAAGGGCAGAAGATGAGCAGTAATAGAACCAACATAGGTATGAATGGCTGAATGGCCTTCTGCACTGTAACAATTCCATGACTGTTCACTATCTTCTATACTCTGTCCACCCTTCTGACCTGCACTAATCTTTGTCCAACATTTTGTTTTTTCTTTAAGTTTTACACTACCTTTAACTTTTTTGTTAACTTTCCTGGTTGGAATGCCATCTCGGCTCTGGTATCATTCTAGCAAGACCTTTCTGCGCCGTCTCCAGTGCTTCTATATCCTGCTTATACGTTATTTTTCAATTCTAGGAGACTACTTGTCCAAGTCTGTGGATGGAATATTTATTTATGAGGAACATCATTTGGGGGCTTTTGAGTCAAGCAAGATACCAAATGATGCAATTGTTGTTGAACAGTGGACTGTCATTGAGGTAAGGTGGTCTCCTATTCTGTTCAGAGTTTAACATTTCAAAATATTTTTACAAGATATTTTGGACACTGAAAGTTATATTTAGTCATTTTTTTTGTTGAGCTTGTGTTGGAAGTGCATCTCATTTGGTTACTTTATACAGCAGTATTATTCTTTATAAATGGAAAAGTGTCTATTACCTAAAGTACATCATTCTGCTCTTACCCATTTCCCAAATAATCATGTGGGAAGCAAAATGTCAGCTCCGTAATCAGGTTGAAGTAATGAATTAAGGTGGCCAACGCATTTGAGAGCAGATTAAATTTTCCTGGCAGCATATAGTGGGAACCTATTTGTAATGCATTACTTTGCATGTCATTGCCTAACCATTTGCAATTAACTCGTCAAAGAACAAGAAACAGGTCTTCAGATTTATGATTGGTTAAAGCTGGCATATGACAGGCCATGTAGTTTTCCTTGTGAATTTTGACTGAGTGGGAACTATTTACCTTTTATAGGGAACTTTGTTGAACTACAGAGAGGAGACATTGATGTATTGGGATAGTGTGATGGTTGTGAAGGGAGATTGGGCATGACTTATGAAGGGAAGCCAATGGTAGCTATGCAAGGAGGTCGGACTGTGGCTAACCAAGGAAAAGAGGGTTGGTATTGGCGGCTCTACAAGGGCTTGAAAAGGACAGGACGGAAGCTGCAAAGAAGATCACCATATACAGATAGTAAGTCAGCCTAAGTTGTTGGGAATTCGAAGGTCTTTTATAGAGTTTAGGTCAACCTTAAATTCCTGGGAGGTAAGAGAATAGAGGCCATGTCAAGGTTGGGGGTGGAGGGAGGTTTGACTAAGAAGTTTGGTAGATCAAGAATAACAAGAGCCAGTTCCGGGGCAGTTGAGCAAGGATGATAGTGGGTGGCTCACTGGTCACCTAGCAGAGTGAGGGTCAAGAATGATGGAGGTAAAGTCAAAAGTGAATGAGGGAGGGTACAGGATGGTGTTTTCCAACTCCAAGGACATAGTTGTGTTGTCTGGTTCCTCTTTAAACAAGTTGCAGACAACTCCAACTAGAATATTATGAATGAATTTGCCCAGGTGTCCCATGAAACCAAAGTAGTCAAATCAATTCAAACACAGGCCAGTACCAAAGCAAAACATTCGCACTTAGTTCGGAACGGGATTACAGTACTTTTTAATACTACACATGCTATCCCTAATTCGGTTTGGCCACTTAAGGTTACAATACCTCTTGGGAGTGTTGTACATTGGCACAGTCGCTCTCTCTTTTTGGCTCCTCCTCTGGGCCTTCGCTCACTCGCCCGCCTGCCTGCCCGCTCGCACGCTCACTCACTCACCCACTCACCTCTGGCCCCTACCTTAGACGATGCCAAGGGACCGGTCTGCAGGTGAACTCTGTTTCTGTACTGTTTAGATGGTTTTCTGGAACTTTCCATAGTTCTGACCAATCAGGGAGATACACTTAATAGTTTGAAACAAGAGTCAATCATTTGGATGGCATGCTACTGTCAAGTTTCTTTGTGTAGCATGACCTGGTGCCTTTCTGTCTGGGCTGCCCTTTGTGTATTGGATAAGTTGTTGGGAGTATCTGTGCAGACTAACTGTTGCCTTTTACATTATGCTAATATCATTAGCACCTGGCTGCTGTGTTTGCATGTGGACAAACAGGAGGCTGGAACAACACAACAAGCCAGGCAGCATCTGGAAGAAAGGAGCAGTCAACGTTTTGGGTATTACCCTTCTTCAGGACTGGATGTAAGCAAGGTGGGGGTACTGCAGATAAAGAGAGCAGGGAGATGTGGAGGCAGAATGGTGGTGATAGGTGGAAACTGGTAGTAGGTACAACCTGGTTGGTCGATGGGAGGGATGAATCCGGTTGGGGGCTGGTTGGGAGGGTCAGAAAGTGGATCGTAAGGGAGGAGGTGGGACTGGAAAGGGAGTTGGAAGGATGGGTGGGAAGGTTATTTGAAATTGGACAACTGTGTTGAGTCCTCTGGGCTGTAGGGTGCCTAGGCAGAAGATAAGATGTTGTTCTTCAAATTTGCACTGTGTCTGGTGTGTGGGTTTTATGATTTTTTTTCACTTGGCCAATGTACCCAGCATCCCTTGCTGTTCAGCCAAGTTGGCAATCTGTGGTTTAGCAGCCAGCAGGCTGCTACATTTGGAATAACAGGGCAGGGAGAACCAGTGAAGGATGGAGTTGCCCACAGCAGGGTGGGCAGAGACCAGGGTGTGGCTGATGCAAAGTACAGAGCTCCTAAACAGATTGGAGGAGAACCTGCAGGAAGCCCTTTTCTGAACTGTGGAGCGAATTGTATCTGTTTTTCATGAAGTGAGAGCAGTTATCAGGATCAACAGGTGGGAAGGCTGTTCTAGCAGGCCCTGGGATGTGAGGGGTTAGTTAAGTGGGAGAAAGGAGGCAGCACCTCAGTGAAGAAAGATTCAAGATTGACAACAAAAAGGATAATGCTTGCTTGCAGTTAGTGAAAGCCCTCCCTGATGCCATTTGAATTTTATCTGGACCTTCAATCTTGTGAGGTAACAGCACCTGCCATGCAATTGTCTGTTCCCCAAAACTGTGATTAGCTAATTAACTGAACATTGCATAATTGGCCATGGCTACTCATTCTGCCTCCAAGCAGAAAATCTGCACACTTCTGTAACCGCCACCAGGTTTTCAGGCAGTGACCTACACATCATGTCTACATGATCTATCATTAGTTAAGCACCTCACCTAAAGGGAGAGAAAATTAACTTGTGTGAATGTTGCACTGCATCTGACAGCCATTTACTGAAAATAAATTTGGACTGTAAGTCGTAACCAATCACTCTAAATTTCTATAGATGTTGATTGGGCAAGATCGAGTTCCCTGTCTTAAACTTAAGGTATAAAGAGCAGCAAGAGAATAATTGCTGCAACCAGTGTTTTGTGATAATATTCACAGAAGTTTTCATTGGAAAAAAGATTAATAAGAGACATGATCCTGATTTTAAAATGTTGAGGGCCTTGACGGGGTGCAGAAGAGATTTACCAGAATGATTCTAGGAATTGGAGATTTTTGCTACAAAGTTAGGTTAGGAGCACTGGGGTTGTTCCCTTTGAAGCAAAGGAGATTGAGGCGAAATTTGATAGAAGTTAGTAAAATTATGACAGGTTTAATTTAGCAACGTTGGACCAATGGTGCAAGGATTACAAGAAAAAGATTTAAGGTTGTGAGCAAGAGGAGGAAGAAGGCGTAATGACCTGGAACTCGCTGCCCATGAAGGTGGTGAAATGATAGACAATGAATGATTTCAAAAGGAAGTTGAACAGTCACATGAAGAAAATGAACTGGAAAGATTCAGAGAATATAGCAAAGGAATGAGAGTGAATGAATTACTCCACAGTGAGCTAGCGTAGACCCAGTAAGCCACGTTGCCCCCTCCTGTGCTGTAAATGATGCTGACATGATCATTTAATACAATGTGTTATTTAGCTTGCATGTTGAGGACTGAACTGCAGGACATGGTGACACATCTGAGGAGCATGCTTTAACTGGACAGTGGTTAGAGTTGACACTTAACTTGGAGAGCTCTTTTGCAAATGATTGAATTGATGTGATGTACTTCTGTTGTTACAGAAAAACTAGATTTTATATTTCTCATAGCCATTACTTATCAAGTTTTGGCCTACGTAAGAATGATAGATTTGGAAGAGGCACCTTAGTCTTTCCAGACACTTTTCACGAAATGGAGGAACTGGAGTAGTCATTTATGGAAGCACATTAATGGGTATGTGTAAATTCAGAAAGTTCAGTAACCAGAGGGCAGATTTTAAGATAATTAGCAAAACAACCAGAGAGAAGATCAGAAGATTTTTATTTCAACAATGTAGCAAGTTATCATGCTGTTTTACTGCCATTAAAGGAAGATAGGAGTAGTATCAATATTAATTTTAAGAAGAAAACTAGATTTATAATTTGAAAGAATAAGTTTACAATGGGGACAGAACAGGGAGATTGGACTTAAAGAATTGGCACAGGTTTGATGGGCTATTGGCTACCATCTGTGCTTTTAAGATTCTATATGATTTCAACTTATCTCTGAATTATTTTGAACATTGATCATCTGTCATAATTTTATTGTTTCTACAGGGTTGTGAAGTAAAGACTGATTATGGTCCTTTGCTGCATACACTGGCAGAGTTTGGATGGCTGGTTACTTGTGTGCTGGCCACACCTATCATTCGCCATGACAGGTAATATCGATTGATGAGCAACGTTCCCTCTAAGCTGTGTGACCATACAGGTACTGGGAGGTTCCACGCACATCAATCAGCATGGTTTCCAATTGCAGAAATTGTTGCTCGACGTGGATCTCAGAGGTCTGTGCTGCGGCAAAAAGAATTACAGGGAACATTTATCTTGAGGTATATTTTTTTCAAGGACTTCAGGGGTTCAAGTGCTCAATAGATCAGTGGGGGTGCAGAAAACCAGAACGTGTTCAACTTCTGCAGCTACCTCATCCATCATTAATTGTGGCTGTTGCCTTTATCAGTAACTTTGAAACTGAATTGGTAGTTTTGAAGTGAGCAGGACCTTATCCTATCACATGCATCATTATCAAAGGGAGTGAGATCTTTGAACCTTTTTGAGATCTGGAGTCAAACAAGGTTTTGTCCTGGCACTGACATTCTTCGACATATACTTTGCTGCTGTCATATGCATTCTGGCCATCTGGGTCTATTTACTTACATGTCAGATCAAAAGCAGATCAAAACATAGAAAATAGGGGCAGGAGTAGGTTTTACCTGTCATCCAAGATAAAGGTGTACCAGATCTTCATGAGTGAGTTGTTGTATGCTAATCATGCACTATGAGAGGCATAGATAGGGTGGATGAGAGGCATGGACTGGGTGGATAGTCAGAGGCTTTCTCCCCAGAGTGGAACGGTCAACTACAAAAGAGCACATGTTCAAGATAAGGGGGGGAAGTTTAAGGGAGAAGTGCTGGGAAAGTTTTTCACACAGAGGGTAGTGGGTGCCTAGAACGCACTGATAGTGGAGGTGGTGGAAGCAGGCACGTTAGCAACATTTAAAGTGCATCTCGATAGACGCGTGAATGGGAGGCAAACAGAGGGATAGAAATCATGCATGGGCAATAAGTACCAGGTCTAAATAAGGATAAGGAATTGGCACAAGTTTGGTGGGCCGAATGGGTTGTTCCTGTGCTGTATGGTATTGTATTGTATTATTGTATTGGAATATTGAGGAGCACCTTCAGCAGCTAATGGAAATAATCTTTCCATTTGTTTTGACTGTCAGCATCAGGAGGTCAAAATCCATGGTTTTTGATATTGCCATATCTATCAGCATTGACAATGTGAAGCTGGACATTGTTGATAGCTTCAAATATACGCTCCACAATCACCAAATATCTGTTATTTCATGCTGAAACTAACAAGTACATTGCAAAAGCTTCAACTGCTCTTCCCAAGCTGTGTAAGGAATTGGAACAACAGCAATCTAATTAAGAAAACCAAGCATATCGCATGTGCTGTCAATGTAGTTCTTAACAGTGATTGAGACCTGAACAACATATGCCAGGCAGAAGGCAAGTCTGAACATTTTGTACCATTGTTGTCTCAGACATATCCTGGGGCTCTCTTACCAGGATGAGGTCACCAGCTCGGAACTGTTGGGGCAAGCAGAGAAGGAAAGTTCAGCTGCTCAAAAAGAGGACCAAGAGAAAACAAATTTGTAAATCCTACATCTTTTACTGCAGAGAAAAACAGTAGGTTGAAATGAGGCAGAGACTACCATGCCAGAGTGGGTCTTCTTGACCACTATAGTGCAAACCATTGTCATATAAGACAGAAGGCTGCTATAATGTTCTGAAACCAACCATTCCTGCATCCATTTCACTGCCATATTTCTGAGCACTAGAAAATCTGGCTGACAAATGTTAAGTTGAAATCAAGCTACCAAATACAATCCAGGAATCTTTTTCCATATAATTAAAAGGTTTCCCTGCATTCCTAAATGGGACACACATACACCAGAAAACCTGTTGCTGTAATCTACAACCTGTCATGTCAAGAGAAGTCACTTGCACTTTCTTTAGGATTTGATTCACAAATGTTATCAACCTGATGTGGGTCAGTTAATAAAAAAACTTGAAAGAACTGCTGATGCTGGAAATCACAAACAAAAACATAGCTGAAGAAGGGTCACTGGACCCGAAGCATTAACTCTGACCTCTCTCCACAGATGCTGCCACATCTGCTGAGATTTTTCTGCAATTTCTGTCTTTGTTGATCTTGCAGTTAATATTGAGGCAGTAGTTTTCTTGGAAAAAGGTTATAGTGCTGCTGATGTAAATGTGCTTGGAATACTACTCACAAGAACCATATAAATACCAACTTTGCCATTATTACAACGTTTCAAAGACAGTAGTCATTTTACCCTTTTTAACCTCAGTCTTCTTAATTTGTTTATGTGAAAATAATATTTCAGGATTGTAATTCTCTCAGATTAGTTGAATCTGTACAACTAGAGATATGGTACGTACTCTGGGATGTACTTTGAATGGATGAATCATCTCGGAGGAGATACCAAAGGTTCAGCTTGAGAGAGGATGATTGACCTTAGATATTGTTCCTGACAAAGATAGCAGAATTCTGCACAATCATAAGATGGTGTATCATTTTTTTCAACAAACTGTTCCCAGATCTCTGCTACAGCACTGGTTCAGAAAATCTTTGGTGAACTAAAATGGAAATTAGCTGTTGGACTGAATGCAGCCTATCACAGGATCTTTCTTTTAGATCTAATGGGATAAAATCAAACTGCTATATTTTTGACCCATTAACTCAAAACAACAAAATATTTCTATGAAAATATTTTAATCCAATATGCCTATTGGTAGATTAATTGCTTTTGTTTACAATAGTTCAGATCTTAATTCAATTTCATGTATGTTTCATGTTTACAGTGAAGGAAATTTAGCAACAAAACAAGTGATATTCTTGCAGAGACCTGCCATAACCAACAATGATCTAAGTCTAAAACCATTAGAGGTAGGTTAAATTGCCTTCAGGATTGCAGCATTTTACATGTAGAATATTACTTTCTTGTGAGTATCATCTGCATAGAAATATTTGATCAGGACACACGTGCTGTACCTTGCCAGTGGCAACAACACAAAAAAGTTTTCATGTCCATTCTACGCTGCTGCAATCTCAAATGAACAGTCTGATTTTGTATGTGCTAGCTAAACACTGAAGTGTACTTGGGGCTAGGGATGAGATGCAGAAGTTGAGTGGTATTATGTAATGTAGTCATGTTCTCTGTTTACCAGAATGTTAATAGGACTCCAAGCATTGTTATGAAGTGCAATTACAAAAACTAGGATCATTTTTCATAAAATAAAGAAAGTGAAGATGCAATTTAAGTGAGATTTTACGGTTTTGAAAGGAATTAATAAGGCGATAAGTGATTAATTGTTTTCTGCTGGTCAGGGAGCCTTAACAAAGTTTATAGAATGCCTACATTGTGGAAGCAGGCCGTTTGGCCTATTAAATCCACACTGCCCCCCTGAAGAGCATCCCACCTGGACCCCCCACCCCCCCACCTCACCCCCATCCTGTAACCCTGCATTTCCTATGACTAATCCACCTAACCAACATATCTCTGGACACTATGAGCAATTTAGAATGGCCAGTCTAACTAACCTGCACATCTTTGGACTACAGGAGGAGACCAGACCGCCTGGATGAAACTCGCACAGACACGGGGAGAATGTGCAAACTCCACACAGTCTACTGAGGGTGGAATCAAACCCAGGTCCCTGGTGCTGAGGCAGCAGTGCTAACAACTGTACCACTCAGATTTATGTAGAATCAGGCCATTAAAGAGAGGTTAACCTATACTGCTACACACAAAGGGTGGTAAAGATGTATATCGAGCCTGAGTGGCCTACCCTTGTTCCTCTGTTACTATGTTCCTGTTTTCTGGTTTTAGGCTGCTTTTGAGGATACAATCCAGGCTTACACTTGAATGCAGAATTATCCACTTACCAGTGTGTTATTTACTTAATACTCACTTAATATCACAAAAACGATTATTCTAATTATCTACTTTTTTGTGGAAGTTTGGTATGCACAGATTTGCAGGTTTTTTTGTTATAGCATTGACTGCACTTTAATGGTATTTAATTGGCAGTAAATCACTTTTTGATTGTCTGAGGTCGTGTAGCGTGCTACAATAAACTCAAGAGTGTTCTTGTGGTACTATTCCTACCTCTGGGCCAGAAGGCTTGAGTTTAAGTTCTATCTGCTGCAAAGGTGTATTGTAATGGATCAGAACAGGTTGATTAAGATATCTATCAATCCAAATTATTTTCTTTTTTTCTCTAAGTAGTATGAGGAATTTTGTTTTGATGTGAGACTAAATTATGTAGTATTACGGTCTATTCCCATTTTTCCCTTTTAGCAACAGAAATCGGAAGTTTATTTTTGGTAATTACAAAACACTTAAACTTTTCAACCACTAGAAGTATATTAAGAATCGAGGAGCCTATTGTTGGAATATATCTTCTGTGATTCTGCACACACTGCTTCATTCTAATAGTACAAAGATTTATACCCCTTAGAGATCGTATTCAATGTTTTACTGATTTGCTTATTTTCTTGTTAGCTCTGATTAGTTGAAGAAGACAATTAGGTAGAGCGCAATGAATTTCTAGTTCAAATGTTGTACCTTTCTAAGTTTTTAGAACCACCAAATCTTTCGTCATACCAACACTATTTTGAAAACAGACAACTATAATGTAGAGCATTAAATAATGATTGGGTTCCAACTTCCAAACCTGCAAATAATGCCACCAGAAATCAATGAGGTAATTTGGGAATAATGGAGTAACACTTCACAGTGTTAACTCAAGTGGGACCAGCAGTGAATCATAAAAACAAGCAATGAAAGTGGCAGGTCAGAAGATGTCATTGGAAGTCCATCACCAAATATAGACAGTGCAGATAGAAGAAAAATTGTGCCTTCCCCATTGAACATGTTTCTTTTGCTCATTCTATGGTAGATAGTTATAGCAAGACAACCAATATGGTATGTAGCAATTACATTAGGAGTGTTTGAGATCCCTGAAGCAGTGGTGAAATTTCCAGAATTTGACATGTAAAGAGTGAAGAAAACCCTCCTATCCAATAACTGCATCTCCAACTGAGTGTAGAATCATGAACCACAGAATTCCTGCGCAAGAAGCATGGATCTCCAGCCCCGTCTTGGAAGCTACTTCTATTCTACTTAGTTTTTCTTTTTGCTATAACCTTTCCCTCTTAGCTGTTTGTCACATCCATAACAGTTATCCTCTCACATACCACAGTTATTCGCTAGTATTCTCCTGCCCTGTTGACCAGCTGTACCATACTTTTATGCCCCGACTTTTATTAGCCTGAATTCCCATTAGTCAACATCCTGCTGAAAGAGGCTATTTGGATCCTCAGGCCCAGTTTGTGATTCGGTAAGACCTTGGCTGATCTGTTTGTGTTTTGAGTTTCATATTCTCAACTACCACCAATAACCTTTGATTCCCTGCCTAACAAGAATCTATCTAACTCTGCCATAGAAGTAAAGCTGGCTTCAGAGGCAGGGTGTTCCAAAGTCACACAACTCTTACAAAAAAAATTCTTCTCACCTTGGTCCCAAAAGGGCAACCTAATTTTAAAACCGCGTCCCCTTGCTTTGAACTGACTCTCAGGAGGAAACATTTTTTCCACATCTACCTTGTCAAGAATTTTTGGATGATGCACGCCACAATGAAATCACCCTCGCTCTTCTAAACTCCAGTAGAAACAAGCTTCGACTGTTCAGCTTATTCACATACAATAACCCATTCATTCCAGATATACATCTAGTAAACCTCCTCCGAACCTCCTTCTGTGCATTTACATCCCTCCTTAAATAAGGAAACTAAGACTAGACACAGTACTAAAGATCAGATCTCACCAATTCCCTGTATAAGTGAAGGGTAATATCATTACTTGTATGATCAATTCCTGTTGTAATAGCAATTCCTCTTGTAATAGGATAGCATCCAATAGCCTTCTTAATTAGATTCTTGACACATATTAATATTTTATGATATATACTCTGGAGCAGCTAGATCCCTCTGCATCTTAGGATTCTGCAATTGTTCTCTCTTTGAGCAATACTCTACTTTTTTATTCTTCCTGCCAATGTGAACAATTTCACATTTTCACAAATTATACTCCACTTGCCCAATTTTTGCCCATTGATATCTTCCATCCGCATCTTTATGCAATTATTAAGTGTCACCTTCACAAATGCTCTCTTACCTATCTTTGTGTCATCTGCATATGCTTTCGCTCCCTTCATTCAAGTGATATAAATTATAAAATACCTGAGGCCCAAAACCAACACCTGTGGGACCCCACTCATCACATCCTGCAAATTAGAAAGGGCCTACTTACCCTACTTTCAGCCTAAACCATGAGTTTGTATTTTCCGCAATAACCTTTGATGTGGCACCTTATCAAATGCCTTTGGGAAATCCATGTCTGCAGGCTCTCCTTTACCCACAGTATGTGTTACTCCTTCAAAGAAGTCTAATAAATTGGTTAAACATGATTTCTCTTTCACAAAACCATGCTGACTGTTCCCAATTGACTTGAGTTTTTCTAGTTGGCAGCTATCACCTCTTTATTAATCAATTCTAACACCTTTCCCACGATGTCAAGCTAACTGACCGATTAGTTTTCTGTTTTCTTCCTCCTACCCTTCTTGATTGTAGAGGTTCTATTTGCTACTTTCCAATCTGATGGAACCTTCCCTGAATCCAAGGACCTTTGGATTATTTAAACCAATGCATCTACTACCTCATTAGCCACCTCCTTTAAGACAATGGGATGACATCCATCTTGACCTGAGGACTTGTCAACCCACAGCTCCATCAGTTGCTTAATGATCTAATCTTAGTGAGCTATCCGCATGATTGTAATTTCACCAAGCTCCTCTCTCCCTTCCACCTCTAGATTTACAGCTATTAGTAAAGGTATTTTGTATCCTCTGTAATGAAGAAAGAAGTTAAAATATTTCACCATTTCCTTACTATCTACTATTAATTCCCTGTTCTCAGTCACTAGAGGACCAAGACTACTTTTTTAAAAATGTTTTTAAATACTAAATAGAAACATTTGCTATCTATTTTTATATTTCTGGCTAACTTTTTATCTCATTCTCTAATCCCTTTCTCCTGATTTACCTTTTAGACATTTTCTGCAGTCCTTTATACTCAGCTGATCTGCCACTCATCTTTGCACTGTTAAATGCTTTTTCCTTAATTTTGATGCTTTCCCTAACTTCTTTATTATCCTATGGTTGTGGATCCTTCCTTTTAGAATTTTCTTTATTGTAAGAGTATACCTAACCTGAGAATTCTGAAATATCCCCTTAAACAACTGCCACTGTGTCTCTATTGATCTATCCCCTGGCCTGGTATGCCATTCACTTGGGCTAGCTCAGCTTTCTCGCCCACATAGATGCCCTAATTCAGGTTTAAAATACTAAGTCTTAGACCTGTTCTTCTCCCTTTCAAATTGGATGTAAAATTAAATCATATTATGATCACTGCCATGTAGGGGTGTTTTGGCCATTGATCATACCAGAATGGAGTCTAATCACTCTCCAAAAAGGGAACATTTACTGCAAGTTATCAGTAAGTTGGTGTTCAATATTGAAAAGTAATCCATTGAACTGCTTAATACAGTTCCACACTAAACACACTATTGTGGATGAATAAACCTTACTGATATTAAACATTAAACATGTCTACTTCCCTTATTATAGGAGTGACTTCTTCCCACCTCCCTCATTGTCACAATATGTTATATACCATATTCAAATAAGGGTTCTTCTGTTACTCTAGAAGTCCACAGAAACTCAAATCCCAATGGACGCCCTTGGGAACTTCTCAAATTGCAAAAGTTAAATCAGGCAGCAAAGTATTCCAGTTCCTGATTTCTTTCTCTACCTTCTTTAGCATACTTTTAAAAGCTTAATTGAGCCACTTACCAACCCACTGGGGATAATTAATCTTGGTTAATGGAGTATTGAACTTCAGCAATGCACAAGTCTCCTATTAGGTGCAAGTAAACAGAACCACTAATTAGTCATAACAAGATGTAGAGCTGGATGAACACAGCAGGCCAGGCAGCATCAGAGGAGCAGGAAAGCTGATGTTTCGGGTCTGGACCCTTCTTTAGAAATGGGAGAGGGGAAGGGGACTCTGAAATAAATAGAGAGGGGGGGAGGCGATGATGGAAGATGGATAAAGGAGCAGGTAGGTGGAGAGAAGACAGGCAGGTCAAGAAGGTGGGGATAGAGCCAGTCAAGATGAGTGTAGGTAGGGAGTTGGGATGGGGGTTGGTCAGTTGAGGGAAGATAGACAGGTCAAAGAGGCAGGGACGTGCTGGGCTGGTTTTGAGATGAGGTCGGATGTGGGGAGATTTTGAAGCTTGTGAAGTCCACATTGAGACCATTGGGCTGCAGCGTTCCCAAGCAAAATATGAGGTGCTGTTCCTGCAGCCTTCAGGTGGCATCGTTGTTGCACTGGAGGAGGCCTAGGATGGACATGTCATCCAAGGAGTGGGAGGGGGAGTTGAAGTAGTTTGTGACTGGGAGGTGCAGTCGTTTGTCTCAAACTGAGCATAAGTGTTCCACAAAGCGGTCTCCAAGCCTCCGTTTGGTTTCCCCGATGTAGAGGAGGCCACATCAGGAACAGCAGATACAAAGCGGACTGCTTTGTGGAACACCTACGCTCGGTTCATGACAAACGACTGCACCTCCCAGTCGCGAACCACTTCAACTCCCCCTACCACTCCTTGGATGACATGTCCATCCTAGGCCTCCTCCAGTGCAACAACGATGCCACCTGAAGGCTGCAGGAACAGCACCTCATATTTTGCTTGGGAACGCTGCAGCCCAATGGTCTCAATGTGGACTTCACAAGCTTCAAAATCTCCCCACATCCGACCTCATCTCAAAACCAGCCCAGCACGTCCCTGCCTCTTTGACCTGTCTATCTTCCCTCAACTGACCAACCCCCATCCCAACTCCCTACCTACACTCATCTTGACTGGCTCTATCCCCACCTTCTTGACCTGCCTGTCTTCTCTCCACCTACCTGCTCCTTTATCCATCTTCCATCATCGCCTCCCCCCCTCTCTATTTATTTCAGAGTCCCCTTCCCCTCTCCCATTTCTAAAGAAGGGTCCAGACCCGAAACATCAGCTTTCCTGCTCCTCTGATGCTGCCTGGCCTGCTGTGTTCATCCAGCTCTACACCTTGTTATCT